CGCCAAGTCTAGACTGACGATTGCATCGGATGCGGAGAAAATTCTGCAAGGAAAAAACATGACAACGTTAAATGTTTGTGTTCCAGGCGAGCCAGAACATTTAGTCGCGCCTGCAAAAATGTATCCGGGGGCTTAGTTCTCTTCTCGGTCATATCCGGGGGCTTGGGTCTCTTCTCGGTAATATCCGGGGGCTTGGGTCTCTTCTCGGTCATATCCGGGGGCTTGGGTCTCTATCCCGGGGGCTTAGGTCTCTTCTCGGTCATATCCGGGGGCTTAGGTCTCTTCTCGGTCATATCCGGGGGCTTAGGTCTCTTCTCGGTCATATCCGGGGGCTTAGGTCTCTTCTCGGTCATATTTAGGAGTCTACTATTCCATTATAGTAGCGGCTATTAAGAAAATGAATGTCACATACACAAACCAAAAGACCCAAACTAGCAACCAAGGCGCAAATAATACCAAATAGGCAAAACTATGGGGTATGTCCGATACAACAATTGTGCCCATTTGAGGTTGGATCGAATGTCATTTCTGAGAAGAAGAAGAAAAAGAAACGTTTGGCTTCACCGGAATCTGAACCCATAACCTTCAGATCCACAGGCACACGTCTGGCCAATACATCAAGGCGTTTTCCTTGAGTGTATGTACATGTGTGTGCTGTGTTTTATAGATATATATGTATATATATATATATATATCTATATATATAATATATATATATATATATATATATACGTATGGTTCACGCAAAAGTCTTGCAGCCTGCGTCGTGCTGACCATATCAACCATTTAGTCTATAAAATAATGGGTCTACAGTGTGTTTCAAAATTCGTGCCCGGACACTTTAATCAATATCTCGAAAACTCCGGTTCAGATCAACGAGAATTCTTGCATGTGGCCTTTCATTTCCATGTCTTTATGATTTTATAATTTAGTTGCATATGTGCTGCCGTTTTCTCAAATCGGTGATTGTCTTTGATCTTTGTTTGATCAATAATTGGTGTACCCTTAGAAAACAGAATCTACAGCAATAGTCACAAACGTGGAGATTGGAAATTAAAAATGCATATGAAACGATGCGGGGTGATTTTTTTGATTGCCTATCCTGTATACAATGAGAAATCCGCAACTCAGGGGAGACTAATGCTGGAGATGACAACACGAAAGTAAAACGCCCACAAAATATGTGCAATCCGATGTTTTCACGTGAAAAGTTCCCTTTACTCACTTAACTGTAAGCACGCTGACTGTTTGCTTTGAATCAGTGTATGTCCGTGCCACCTCACATATACCGCAAAATGAAAACTACATGTATGTTCATACGTTTTTTTTTTTTTTTAAATTCTCACAAGCACATCATTATTAACAGGGTGCATTCCCAATTTCAACAACTTAACCGAATGGTTCTTGAGTTACAGATTTTTAAAGTTGGGCACGACTTTCGAAACGAACTATGGCGTCACGAAACCTGATGCACCCAATGACGCGAGAAGGGTCTGTTACTTGAAGTGAAGAGTCATGTTGCACACAGGGGCAATGTGTGCTGCTATCTATCAACTGCCTGCTAGTTTATAGTCATGTTACACACAGGGGCAATGTGTGCTGCTATCTATCAACTGCCTGCTAGATTATAGTCATGTTTAGGGGCAATGTGTGCTGCTATCTATCAACTGCCTGCTAGATTATAGTCATGTTACACACAGGGGCAATGTGTGCTGCTATCTATCAACTGCCTGCTAGATTATAGTCATGTTACACACAGGGGCAATGTGTGCTGCTATCTATCAACTGCCTGCTAGATTATAGTCATGTTACACACAGGGGCAATGTGTGCTGCTATCTATCAACTGCCTGCTAGATTATAGTCATGTTACACACAGGGGCAATGTGTGCTGCTATCTATCAACTGCCTGCTAGATTATAAAATAGGGATCTAGAACCACGTACTGGATGATTCACTGTAATAGGAAGGGTCACGTGCTCCTACATGTTTAATTAAGGGTTGTGTTTTCTACTTTCATTCTGGTCCCAATATTAGCAAAGACGATCCATTTCGAATTATGTATACCTCAAACAACCACAGAATAATCCGCTATGCGGAAGCCAAGACAATAAACGTGAATAACAGACGTGAATTATGCAGACAAAAGTAAATGATCGTGAACTAGCATTTGATGTGGTAAAATATGTATTAAATATAGTCGATTTTGTGTTTCAGTAAAATTAAAAAAAAAAAACACACACACACACACATGTACCTGCAGTATGTACGTGACGAGACACGGCGAAATATACCAGGCAATAACTTGTGCACTCTATTCATTGTGTCTTCTTTGTTGAAATTACTGTTATTTATTGACTGGATATCTTACTTTTACTTATGGGCGCTGATATCATCAATAAATGTAAAAGCCCGTCAGTTCCTCTGCCCTAGGGTAACCCCACACCGTGGAGAAGACACATCGTGGTCAGTGATAGGGTATCAGGCAGCAAACTGGCTAATTGTCAGATTACCCGGCCCGGCTGGCACTAGGCCGGGCACAGTTGTTTCTGTTCGTCTCTGTCATCCTGCCGAAACCGTACCCCAATCATATATCTATCCCGGTGTAAGGTGACCCCCGGGAGAGTAACACTGCGACCTCTGACTTATGGACATTCTACCTCTCAGAAGGGGTGGCTCAGCATTGTCTACTGTTCTGATCTATGGGCGTAACTTTTGCCCCTGAAGCGCCCGCCCAGCGGGGCTGTGGTAACCGTAGAAATTTCTCCAGTTGTCATTAGACCAATCGAATTGTCTGGAATGTGTCTGTAACTTATCTTTTGCCGGAATTTGCAAACATTCCGTAACTTAAATCATTCGTTCCTGTAGTTTCCGAAGTTCCACTGGGGATGGGGAGGAGGGGACCACACTTACTGCCCCCTAAGAAGCATATTGAAAAACAAAAACGACTAATTAAGAGACGTTTCCTTTGAAGTCGGACAGCCTGCCTAAAGAGAAAGAATCAACAGTCTGCATGCAAATAAGCAACATCTGTAAAATGGATATACACGCAAAACTCAACATTCGGAAACAAAATTCAAATCCGGAAGTGAATGAATAACAGAACTTCCCGCTGGAGTTTACAGCCTGTGTGAATGATGAAGAAGAAATCATTCAAAGTGCTAATTCATGTCAATAGATTTTTTTTTTTTAATAATAATTTAAATCAACAACGAAAAGTATCTGGCTGGTTAGCGGTCCGTGTGTGATACAATCTTTATCATCATCATCATCATCATCATCATCACTATTATCATCATCATCATCATCATCATCATCATCATCATCATCATCACTATTATTATTATCATCATCATCATCATCATCATCATCATCATCACTATTATTATCATCATCATCATCATCATCATCATCATCACTATTATCATCATCATTAACATCACCCTCGAGACTGTCCTGTCGCAGTCTATTCGTGCAACCCTCCCGGTATCAGGGATGGAATTCGGTCCAGATCCTTTTGGTCTCTCTCACCAACGTTGATATTGGGGTTTCCCTTGGACGCCCCCGTTTCTTCAATCCATTTGTTTTACATTTCAGTGCTTGTTTTGTGTTTCTGCTTGTTTCTTCTCAGGTGTGCCCAATATAGCGCCCTCGTCGTTGTCTTTTAACTGTTGACATGAGCGGTTGTCCGAATTTTAATCTTATTTCTTTACCCGTTTTTTTTAATTTATTATTCTGCATCTACTATGCGATATAAACAACGGCAACTACACGCAATTAAGTATGGTAATAACCCTCTCTCTCTCTCTCTCTCTCTCTCTCTCTCTCTCTCTCTCTCTCTCTCTCTCTCTCTCTCTCTCTCTCTCAGTGGATTTCTTTGTGAAAATCGGTCCTTGTGGCATTCAAGCAGTTGTACGAGAATCGCCGGTAGAGGAGAGTGGTACTTCACTACGTTAAACTGAAATGTCACCGCTATTTTGGTGTAAAATCTGCCACACAAAAAGATTTAACCTATAGCTCAAATAGTGGACAATCTGGAAGTACACCACACAACTCCAGTTGGAATTGTGGACAATCTGGAAGTACCACGCCACACAACTCCAGCTGGAATTGTGGACAATCTGGAAGTACCACACCACACAACTCCAGTTGGAATTGTGGACAATCTGGAAGTACCACGCCACACAACTCCAGTTGGAATTGTGGACAATCTGGAAGTACCACACCACACAACGCCACTTGGAATTGTGGACAATCTGGAAGTACACCACACAACCTCAGTTGGAATTGTGGACAATCTGGAAGTACCACACCACACAACTCCAGTTGGAATTGTGGACAATCTGGAAGTACCACGCCACACAACTCCAGTTGGAATTGTGGACAATCTGGAAGTACCACACCACACAACTCCACTTGGAATTGTGGAAAATCTGGAAGTACACCACACAACCTCAGTTGGAATTGTGGACAATCTGGAAGTACCACACCACACAACTCAAGTTGGAATCGTGGACAATCTGGAAGTAACACACCACGCAACTCCAGTTGGAATTGTGGACAATCTGGAAGTACCACACCACACAACTCCAGCTGGAATTGTGGGCAATCTGGAAGTACCACACCACACAACTCCAGTTGGAATCGTGGACAATCTAATAGTACCGTGCTATACATAAATATCCACACAAGACGAAATAGTGGACACTCTTGAAGTACCACGCCATGCAACCATACATAACCGCTAGCTGGAAATGAAGCCTAGTCGACCATAAGACTACAAATTTCAGATTTAATTCAGATCCAATTTTAAACAGACAAACTACAACGTAGACATAGTTTAGTGTCAGAGCCGATCTCACTACAACGTACACAAGAGTTCAGTGTCATAGGCTGAACTCCTTGGACCAGATCATTAGGACAATGGTGCTGCCAGGAACCACAAAGAAATCAAGCCGAGCTCAACTCTCAAGAGAAGGGCGAGACGGATATACATTTAGACTATTACTGGTACTATCGGAACTGGAACTCTGCTGACGATGGGG